ATCTTTGGAGGGAGCATTTTGGAGGCTGCCCTGTGCCAGGAGGTGACACCTCCCAGAGCTGGTCCATCCAGGCCTGTGCTGCTCACACGGAAGCCCCCTCCCACGTGTGGCTATTAAAATTTAAATTAATAAAATTTAAAAATCCAGTTGCTCAGTTGTGACGGCTGCATTTCCGAGCTCGACAGCACACCTGGCCGTGGTAACCGCCCTGGATGGCCGAGTGACGAGTGGCAGCCGGGAGGCTCGCCGACCAGCAACGCTGTGGGCCCCGCAGGGGAGACTCAGGTGCAGCAGGTCCCAGGGGAGGGTCCCGCAGGCTTCCCCAGCAAAGGGGACAGTGGTCCACAGAGGGGGTGAGGCTGGGAATCACGGTGCCCGGGGAAGGGCAAGAGGAAGGCTGGGCAGGCAGGTGGGCATCTGGGCGGGACCCCGAGGGCAGCGGGCCGTGTGCCCCTGAGGCCGCACCTGGCTCTCCTGGACCCGCGTCTGAGCTGGCGGGGCCACCGCACCGAGGAAGCCCCCAAGACACCCCGCTGGCCAGGCCACCCAGCAGCCCTGTCGCCCACACGCCACGGCCCGAAGAAGGATCCTCGGAGAGAGGACAGGAAGCGTACACTTGCCCTGGGGGTGGGGGCACAGTGACAAGCTCTGGGGACTGCGGGTGGCAGGTCATTAGCATCGGTTTCATTGGAGGGACCTCACACACCCCGGGGGCCTTTTCATTAACAAGCGAGCGAGACAGCTGGGGGGGCGCGTGGGCGCAGGCGGGATTGGCTGGCGATTTTAGAAACGTGGTTTCACTTAACCCTCATATCGTGACAGGGTAACATTTTTGAAAATTGAGGAAAGGAAAACATTACTCCAAGTCTCAGGATCCCAACTACTGGCACGTGCCCCTGTCCACCTGCGCCGTCCAGCGCAGTGGTCCAGGCGCCGTTTAGATCCGCATCGATCAGTGTTCTGTACAATTTAAAATTCGGTGTCTCGATCGCACCTGTCAGGGCTGCACGAGGCCCGAGGCCACGCGGGGGTGGCGCAGGCCTGGCCTAGCTCCGTCGGCCCCCAGCGTCCGGCTGGGCGGCACTGCCCCGGCCAAGCGCCCACGGCCCAGGCCGCCCGCAGGTTTTAATCAGAATGTGCGGGAACCTGCCACCTGCTCCGTTTCCGATACACTGCGAATTTCCTCGTCGCCCTACAGTCTATAAATCCTGCGCGCTCTTCCGTCGGCAGCTCTGACCCCGGGGAGGTCACAGGCCCTTTGGGGAGTCGGATGGTGCCCCCTCCTCAGGAAAATGCTCACCCATGGGCACCCATACGCAAGTGGCACGAGATTCGGGGGCACACGGGCCCCAGTTAAAACCTTGATCTGAGGGATAAACTGAAATTGGCTTATGCCCCTTTTCTGTTGGACATTTAGGACTTTCTCCCGCGTGACGAGCACCCTCGGGCCAGTGAGTCTGGGCCGTGCTGTAGGTCGCGTCTTAGGACGAGCTCCCCAAGAGGCTCTGATTTAGGTGGGGAGCTGTGTGTCGGTTCATACATATCGCAACCCAGGCCCCACGGGCAGGTCCACACGGGGGTCACCGTGGGGGGCAGGGGTCCTGTGGTGTTACATCTTCACCCCGCTGGCCCCTGAGACTGGGCCGGGTGCCGTTCAGGACAGAGGTGAAGGACGGGCTGGCCACTGCTCCGCCCGGTGGTCAGGCTCACCTCCACCCCAACCCAGCCTCGACTCCCGACCACGGGAGGAGGGGTGGCAGGAGCCACAGAAGCAAACCCTGTGGGCAGAGCTCAGGCCTCAGCGGGCGGCGAGTCCGAGGACCAGGCCCTGGGCACTCACTGGTCAAGGATCTTTGGCCGTCGCTGCGCCTGGGGCTGGGAAAGTGCCCGGTGGCCTCACCGTCTAGAGGCCAGGCCCTGCTGGCTGTACCCCCAGGTAGCTTAGGAACGGACAGAGCCATCGTTAGCGACTCGGCCCTCTGAGAGCCACCTGCCATGCAACACAAAGTTGGGGGACTCTGGGGTGGGGGCGCTATCCCCCCTCGCCCACCCCCGGCCCCCGTGCAGCTTCCACATGCAGTTCTCCGGTTCCGCCACTAGAGGGACCCCGCGAGCCAGCCCGCCTTCTCCCCTCGGGGCGCAACTCCCAGCTGCGTTGGGAGACGCAGCTACGGGCACCCATGTCCTCAGAGCCAAGCCCGCTGGGGACATCTGGTCCAGCACGATGCCGGGGCCTCGCCCCCGCGCCCCCTCTGCAGGAGGAGCCAGGACCCCAGGAGGAGCCAGCTTCCCCCCCCTTTGGTTCTCCCCCCATCTGCACAGCTGGGAACCCCTGGGGAGCTCAGACACCGCCCTTCCCTGGGCCACCCCCCCAGCAATCCTGGGTCGTGGTCAGGTGCAGCCTGGGCGTCGGCGGTTACAAGCTGCCCAGGGCGTTCTCATGAACAGCCGGGGTGGGGACATCTGTGCTACGGTGCCCAGGACAACGGGCGGTTTTAGTCTGGGATTTCCAGTCCCCCCACCGTGGGGGCGCTGCGGGGAATGAGAGGGAGCAGAAAAGGGTCTCCAATGCGGTGGGGACACAAAAACTGTGGGCGGTGGTCCCCACCCAGTGCCCAAACCTGGCTCACACTAAAATCACCTGTGAAAAAATGTAGATTCCAGGCCTCGCCCCAGCCCCTTTTCAATCCATATCTGCATTTTCTTTAACTCCAGCAGCTTGCCATGCACGGCGGGGTCGGGACCGGGTGCTGAACCGGCCAGAAGAGCAGCCACATGGTGAGCGGCCCCCCTGACAAGTGCAGCCCGCGCACCCACCGGGGAACCTGAGCGCCGTCCGTTAAAGCTCTGAGCAGACAGACGGCCCCTAAGCTAAACCGCACGGGGCAGGGCCTGAGAGGCCGAGAGGTGGTTCCCGAGGCCGAGGGCGGGGCTCATAAAGGGTGGACCCGCACCTGAGGGACGCCCCGCAGCTGCGGCCCAGGAGTCTGCACGTGGTACGGAGCACGCGGTCAGACTCTCAAATCCAGCTGCCGCTCAGAATCGCTCGGCGCGCCCGTCAGTCCCGAAGAGGCCTCCCGGCGCCCGCTGTGGCACGGGTGGACCTTGGGCACGTCACGCGGAGTGAAAGGAGCTGGACACAAAAGGCAGGTACAGCGGGATCGCTCTTATACTGACGTGGCCCAAACCCGCAGGTCCCCAGAGGCTGACAGCGGACTGGTGGTGGGCCAG